TCACCAAAAATGAAGAAGGGTTTCTTTTTCCCCCACAGCCTCACCAGCATTTGTTACTGTTTGATTTCTAGCTGATAGTTACTCTTTCTGAAGTGAGACAGAATCTCAATGTTGTTTTAATTTGCACTTCTCAAATGGCCAGAGATGTTGAACTTTTCTTCATGTATTCATTGGCCATTTGTACTCCTTCTGAGAAGTGTCTATTTATTTCAGTTTCCTGCTTTTTGAGTCTTTTATTTGGGGGGTCTAATGTTTTTTAGTTCTTTATATATTCTAGATGTTAGTTTTCTGTCCAAAGAGTGACGGGCAAAACATTTTTCCCATTCTGTAGTTTGTCTTCACTCTGTTGGTTGTATCCTAAGCTATGAGAAGTTTTTAATTTGATATGAACCCATTTGTTGATACTTGATATTATTTATTATGCAAGTGGGGTTCTGTTCATTTTTTTCATTTTGTCTCATGGTGAAACAAGTCCTCACTATGTCACCCGGGCTGGCTTTGAACTCACAACCCTCCTGCCTCCACCTCTGCAGTCAACTACTTTTTAATAAAGGTACCAAGATCATCCAATAACAGTATAAAAACTTTTTTTTTGTCTTTTTGAGACAGGGTCTAGCTATGCAGCTCAGGCTTGCCTTGAGCTCACTTTGTAGACCAGGCTGTTCTCAAACTCGCAACAAGCCTCCTGCCTCAGCTTCCCGTGTGCTGGGATTACAGGTGTGTACCACCATGCCTGGTTTAAAAATATTTTCAACGAATAGTGCTAGGATAATTGGATAGCAACATACAGAAGAATGAAACTGGACCCTTAACTCCTACATATACAAAAAGTAACACAAAATGGGTCAAAGCCTTAAATTTAAGAATCAAAACTATAAAATTTCAGGAGAAAAGAGATGTGTGACCTTAAAGCTGGCAATGAATTCAGAGATATAACATTAAAAGTACAAGCAACAAATTGGGCTGGAGATACAGCTCAATGGCACAGCACCTGCCTGGCAAGCACAAGGTCCTGAGTTCGATTCCCAGTATCAATCAATAAATAAATAAATAAATGTACAAGCAACAAAATAAAAAATAAATTGAACTCTAAAATGAAAAACATTTGGGCTTCAAAAAACACTATAAAAAGTGAAAAAAACATAAATTAAAATAAAATATTTGCAAATCATATATCTGATAAGGGACTTATATCTAAAATAAGGAACCCTTACAATAAAAATAATAAAATTACAGTAATAAAAATTATATTAATTACAATAAGAAAAACATATATAGCCCAATTAAAAATGAGCAAACTTCTCTCCAAAGGATGTATACAAATAGTCAATAATCTCTAAAGAAAGTATACAAATAGTCAACAATCATAGAGGTTGCCTAGAAACCCTGGTCATCAAGGACACGCAAATGAAAACCATTATGAGATACCACTAGCATGGCTAAAATTAAAAAGTTAGATAATAATAAGTTTTTGTGAAGACATGGAGAAAACGAAGCCTACACACTTTTCCGATAGGAATGTAAGATGGTGCATATACTGCAAAAGTTTGGCAGTTCCTCAACTAGTTAAACAGAGTTACCTTATCACCCAGAAATTCTGCTCCTTACTATATACCTAAGAAAAATGAAAGGGTTAATCCACACAAATATTCACGGCACCATTATTCATAATGGCCAAAAAGCAAAACCAACCCAAATATCCATCAACAGGTGAATGGATAAATAAAGTGCTGTGTATCAATGGAATATTATTATCCAGCCATAAAAATGAATGAAGCACTGGTATAAAATAAAACATGAACAAATCTTAAAAATGTTATAAGTGAAAAAAGTCAGTCACAGAAAAACATATGATTCCACTTACACAAAATGTCCAAAATGGGCAAATCTACAGAGAGAGAAAGTAGATCAGCGATTGCTTAGGCCTAGGGCAAGGGAGGACAGGGGATTGAGGATGCTAAGCTAAAAGGTGCAGCGTTTCTTTCTGAAGTAATGAAAATGTTCTAAAACTGACTGTGGTAATAGCTGTACAACTGTGAAAATAAACTAAAAAAAAACACTCACTTGTACACTTTAAAAGAATGAGTTGTATATATGTGAAGTATATCCCAACAAAGCTTTTACCCTCAAAAAGCTAACAAATATTCTAAACAAAATAAAAGATATAATCCTAGGGAAAAGCATTATGTGTACCTATAATGGTTTCTTCAAATTATACCAGATATTACAGTAAAGGAAAAATTTCTCTACAGAAGCTGGATCCTACTCTCAGCTTGCATACTCCTCCCTGAAGTCAGGCACATCTCCGCAGGTAGTGGTAGGCCCGTGAATGTTACTTGAACCTGTCCCTTTGGGAAGGTGATGCAAAGGGTGTGCTCAAATCCACACACAGAGAAAATATATATACACCATACAGTGCTCACCCTGAAGGGAACAATTTTATCTTTCCATTTCCAGAAACGCTAATTCCCTTTGAAAGTTTGTACTCAGGAACCTACCATCTAGGTAACATCTTCACCAGGTTCTTCTGAGAAAAAGCACACTGCTGAAGGCCAATGACCACCTACTATGCTTGGAAGAGGCCAGGGAATTAAGAAAAGCTTATCAAAGATCTTCACAGTAAGGGGAATCTACACTGGCTACCACAACTGACTCTGAATCCATAGCCTCCAACCCTGGCAATTTGGATGATGGTCAAAATACTATGGCTGTGTGTGTGTGTGTGTGTGTGTGTGTGTGTGTGTGCACACGCACGCATGCCTGGAGGTTGAGAATGAACCCAGTGCTTTCTCACTGACATACGTCCCTGGCCCTTTTTTATTTCTGAGATAGAATCTTGTTAACTCACTAAATTTCTCAGGCTGGGCTCAAACTCACCATCCTCCTGCTTCAGCCTCCCAAAGTGCTAGGGTTATAGGAATGCTGTACCACATCTGCATAGCTCGTTACAAGTACAGATTCTCAGACTCCACACCAGACCTATTAAATGAAAGTCTCTGGGGCAATAACCTAGGAATCTATATTTTAGCAGATGCCCAAAATGCTTCTGAGAAGTGTCCAGGTTTAGTAACCACTGACAGGAATCTTCTTGTACAAATGTGTGCAGTGAAAATCAGCAGGCTAGAAGAGGAGTGGCATGACAAACTGTACCGCCTGAAAAAGAGCTAATGCATGAAACAGAAGAGAACTTTTCAAACTTTCTAGTTAGTATCTTCGGAGAGATTTGAAAGAAAATGAAATAGGAGCAGGAGGTTCTCACTCCTCCCCAGGTCCTGCCTGCCTCCTCCACACTGGGGTCACAGCCAGTTCAAGCACAGTGTCCACTATACCAGTCGGACCTAGCCCATCAGGCCTAACCCATACGACCTAATCCATCAGACCTAACCCATCAGACGCAACTCTGACTCCAGAACTGGGTAGGACTTACACACCCTTCTGGACCTGGGCCTTCCCCAACTTCTCAGATCCAGTAGAGAGGTGAAGCTAATAGATGAATATGTATAGACTGAAGCAAGGAAATACAATGGCTTACAAAACTGCACATATAATTTGATCTCAACTTTATTAAAATTAGAGAGAAAGAGAAGTCTGGAGAATATAAAAACATGATAAGAAAGAAAAAAAATGAGCTATATTTTCACTTTTTAATCAGGATACAGCTAAGGTAACAGCATTGCACAGCTCCCTGACACTCTTTGCTGACCACCTCCAACTCCACTATCTCATATGATCCTGGGGACACCTCTTGTCTCACGGAGCCCCACATCCCCAGTGGGGTTGCAGGGATTCCCTTGCAAGGTTGGAGGCCACTACATGACGCCATGCAGGTAACGTACTTGGCACCTGCTGCTGCTCAACAGATGGTAGCTAGTTAGTTGCACTTTATTGTCCTCCACCACCCAGATGAGTGAATTCCAGGATGCCAGGCCACAGCCCCTCTCTAACGGGCAAGCTGGTTGTGAAGAGCCAGGGTGGCAGGGCAGGGGTCAGCCTGAAAGGAGGGGAGCCAGGAAGCCACCCAGGGCCTAACTCCTTGGGTGCTCTGCCTTTAAACTCTGGGCAAGGTCCAGTTCTGTTGCAATAGCTTCCCTGATCATTATAAGAAAGTTGTACGCAAGTTCAAACAAAAATGCACTGCTCAGGTCACCTCCAGAAGGCTTGAGGTACCAAGTCTGCCACTGGCTCATGGGAGAGCTTCCTTTCTCTGGGTCCAAGTCTTCATAGAGGAAAAACAAACCCTCTCCTCACAGAGTGATCCAGGACCGGCAAGGAAATGAAGAGTTCTGCTGGGCTGTTTGTACTCTAGGGGAGGGCTGTTACCTATATGGCTACTCCAAAGGCCAGGTTTACTCAGGTCGCTGGTACTGGAGGGAACCTAGTCAGAAGCTTGGGGGCGGAGCTTACTGCCCCTTTCTGTCCACCCCAAACCCTGAGGATAGCCTCAGGTCACAGCTTGAACTGATTAATGGCTGTGACAGCCCTGGGTCTCTCCTAAGGTTTGTCTTGGAGAAGAGAATTCTGCCATCTTAGCTGCAGGTCAGATACTCCTTGGCAAAGCCAGATTACAGCCTCCAAAGTGACCCTAAGGGATGCAAGGCCACCCGAACTGACCCTGCATTTGGGGGTTCCTAAGCCCAAGAAAAGTGGGTGAATGAGATCTCAAGGTTCAGTAACTAGACCCTGATTTAACCTGAGCTACTTGCTAATAGGAAACTCCGTGATGACAACCCAGGTCTCTGAAAGATTAACTGGGGCATTATTCCAGCCAAGTGAGGCCGAACCAACTGCAGCTGGTGGCAGCAGCGGAAGGCAGCAGGTGGTGTCCTGCTGCTCGGCCTAAGCCGGTGCCCTGATCCCTCCTGAACGATCGCAGGAGATAGGGCCAGAGCAGGTGCCCCCCAAAGAGGAAGAGCGCCTGTTCCCGCCTGGCCTCTCACCACGCGAGCTTGCCTTCTTGGGCGTCGCGAGCAGGGCGGGCAGCCCGCCCCAGAAGCACTTACCAAAAGTGGTGAGGTAAAAGGACAGGTCGCGGTAGGCGCGCCGGCTCCCGAGGGAGACCCGGTGCAGAGAGCGCTCCATGGGTCCGGGCTGTGGGTAGGGCGGGAGCGCCTGCAACCCGAGGCGGCTGTGTTTCCGCTGGTAACCGAGGCAGCAGGCTGGCTGCCCCTGCGCCAGCGTCTCCAAGCGGGAGCCGGCGGGAGCCGGGCTGCACAGCGCGCTGTTGGAACGGCCCGGCGCGCCAGGCCCTGATTGGCCCGCGCTGGTTTGAATGGGGAGCTTTCCACCTGACCGAGCAGACAGGGCCAGGGCGCAGGAGGCGTGGACACTGGGAGCGGCGGGGACGGTCACCCGCCACCAGAGATGGCTCCTATCGCGAGGAGCCTGCAAGAGGCAGTGGCCAAGCCTGGGCCCCTGGTGCTCGCACCGCGCTTCAAGGCTGGAAGTACCAGCCTCAGAAGGGACCCGGGCCCAGTGTGCCCACTCGGGCGAGCTTGGCCTGCTCGCCCAGCTCCCCAGCCTGCAATTAGCTGAGTTACAATCGGGTTCGTAACCAGCTTTGAAGCTCAGACCTGTAATCATCAGACCCGAGCAAGGGCAAAGGAGCAGCCTCCTAACCGCGGATGGGTCTGGAAACCTGTGTGTTCTGCACCTGCCCTACCAGGCTTCGGCTCCTTCCCAAACCCTTTCCGCCTGGACTGCTCTCTAGAGCCTCCTCTGGGAGGACAGAGAGCAGCCTGGCACAGGTCCAGACCAGAGCAGCTCGGTCCAGCCAGCCTCATGGCCTCCCATCTGCAGCTAGGGGCATCACACACAGAACAGGACACGGAGGGAGGCGCATACTTTGGATCTCCTCCTGGTGAGCCTGGTGCTGGCAGGCAGCACTAGAAGGAAGGTCAGCGCCTGTGTGGATTTGTCAGCAAACATTCATGAGACACCTCCAGGGAGTGGTTTCACACTAAGACATCTGCTCTGCAAATCTCTGAGAGCTGTCACTGTGGGAGGGAAAGCTGCTGGTCTCACGTAACTCTAAAAATGGGAAGTGTGGGTATTCGTCTCTGGTCCTCTGACTTCACTGCCAACTGATATTTGTGTTCAGCAGTTTACTCAAGTCTAGTCTGGGGGGCGTGAGAGAGAAGAGTTCTACATACTGAGTAGCAGGTGCCAGGAGCTGAGCTGAGTAATTTACACACATCATCTCCTTTAGTCTTCACTGGAAGAGCAGGATGTATTAGCTCCAGTTTACAATCAGAACTTCAGGCAGGGGCTAGGCAACTTGCCCAAGGTTACAGAACTAGAAAGAAGCAGAGCTGAAATTTGAACCTAGGTCTGTCTACCTCAAAGAACATTGCCTTCCTCTTCTTCCTTGGCCTCCCCACTTGCTCCACAGCCAACAGCAGGTGGAAGCAGCAGAAAACTAGATGCATGGGTTCTGCTGGCCCCCAGTGGGGCACAGAAACCAGAGAAGGAGCCCTGAAATTAACAAACTAGTAGCCAAATGCAAATGAGTCCTAAAACAGCTGGTGGACGGCTTGAATCCTAGCACCTTGTGAACCTTGCCCCACCCCTCCCCCACCCCCACACTGTGAACAATGCCCTCAGCAGGGGCAGGGCCACACTCCTGGCCCAACCTCCCTGGTAGATAGATGGACTTACCCACACCCTGGACTTCGGCACGCCTGATCCGCTTCCTGGCTGGGAAAGTCTGAGTCCAAGCATCCTTTCTGGGTAGGAAGGTATCCTGGCTTGGCCACTCCATCTAGCCAGGGAAAATGGGCAACCTCAGACTCAAACCATAGGATGTAGACAGGACACTGAGCCCCGAGGTATTGCAGACCTTCAGGCTCGAGACCAGAGCATGAGTTAAGCATGGCCTGTAAGTGCCCCCAGCAGGGGCTGATCACACCCAGGCAAAACTAGAAAGCTTACAGTTCAGAAGCCTGGACAAAGGAAGGCCCATAGGGAAAGCAACAGTAGGTGCCCAAGGTGACACTCCACCCTCTCCACAACTCTGCAAGGGATCACTGCAGAGATCTGTGCCAGGGGAGACCACCATGGACTCAGGAGGCTATGAGCACCTGGGGCCTGGCCCTAGACCTATGCAGAGCTGCCTGGAGGAGAAAGGGCTGAGACCCACACTAGGCACTTCACCCCTTATTGGGAACAAAGGTCTCACTGCCTGGCAGGTCTCCTCCTAACTCCTCCTACCTGCCTCAGGAGCTAAGCTATTCAGCTATGAGACCCCAAGGCCAGCCTGACCCTGATTCTCTCCTAGTAAGGCTCCTTTGCTTAGCAGAGCCCTGGAAGCCTCTTCATCTTACAGGGACAGGTCACCTTTTTCTCAGGAGCTGGCGGACAGTGGTGAGTGGGCACCTGGATGGCAGCACTGCAAGAGAGACTTGTCCTATTGGCCCACATTGCCATCCATAGTTGACATCCAGAGTCCTGGTCCTGGCCCTGCTGTCCCCAAGAAGGTGGGGACTTTGAGGACCAAGGATGGCTGTGTCTGACATGCCCTGAGTGCTCTAACACCCCCTAGGGCATGCCTTCCACCTCGTTCAGTCTACACACTCCATGTATACAGAAACATAACACACACCCACAATACAAAGACAGGCACTGTGAACACTACACACATGCGTGCATACTGCACATCCCTTAACACATCCTATGTGCTACATACACCACACACACAGAAACAGACACACTGCATACATACCTCACACAAATACACTGTATATACTATGTGTACATCCTGTGCACATACACAGGGTACATACACACAAAATACACTTGAACATATTACCTACGTACACCACACTTACACGCACAAATTGGCCATACACATTTTTAAAGACTGACTTTGTAAGAATAAAGAACATTTGGGTTTAGAAAGAAGAGACTAGGGGCTGGGGATTTAGCTCAGCGGCAAAAGCGCCTGCCTGGCAAGCGCAAGGTCGTGAGTTCAGTTCCCAGTACCGGAGAAAAACAAAAAAAAAAAAAAAAGAAAGAAGAGACTAAAATGATTTATTTGGGTACACTTTCATATTAACTATCGAAGAATCTTACTGACTTTAAGATATCATCTAACCCAATAGCAAAGAAATTTCTGAAAAATAATGACACAACATATTTGAACTGCCAAACATTAAAATACCAGGAAAAAAAGACAGCATATCAATAGACTAGAACACAAAGTCCAAGAAAACACTCATTTCAAAACCAAGAAAGAGTCATATTAAAAAATTAGAAAAGGAGTAAGTTAACGTGGAAGAAATTTTAAAAAGAAAGTAATGAATCCAGGCATCGTGGAGCAGTCCTGTAATCCTAGCACTCTTGTGTGGCTGAGGCAGGAGGATCACAAGGTTGAGTGCTTCCTGCACAAGTTAGTGAGAGTTAGTGAGACCTTGTGTAGAAGTAAAACATAAAAAGCTGGGGGTGTAGAACAATGCAAAGGTCTTAAGGTCAATCCCCTATAACACTCATGCACACACACACACACACACACACACACACATACAGTGTTGAAATCTGTACGAAGAAAAATTAGATTTCAACAATAAAACAACCTGAGCATAGTGGTATGTGTCCATAATCTCACACTTGGGAGGCTGAGGTGGGGCAATCGTTACTAGTGTAGGGCCAGCCTGGACTACATCGTGAGTTCAAGGTGAGCCTGAGCCACACAGTGTGAGACTTCTCTGCAAAAAGAACAAAGAAAATAACGAAACAAAAAAGCTGGCCTTTGAGAAGATTGGTAAAATAGGCCTCTGGCAAAACTTAAAAAGAAAACTACAAATAAACAAGTTTAAGAAAGAGAAAGATAGTAAGACACAAAGATAATTTCTAAACTGTAAGAAAAATGACATTGCAACCTTATTGTATGAATTTGAAAATCTGGGAGAAAATGGTTTTATTTTCTAGAAAGTATGCATTACTGGAACTTACATAAGAACTTAATGTTTAGCTTTATAATTATAGCTCTAATAGATATGTATCTCTGTATTATAAATCTGTAATAGTTAACAGATCATTAATCAGAAAGAAAACAGAAAAGAAACCCAAAACTCTACCTGACAAAGTTTCAGACAGCCCAGATAGTTAACAGATGCCAATGTAATTTAAACTATTTCAGAACCAAGAAAAAAAAAACCTGGAAGATCTGTCAATGCTAAGCGGAAGCCTACACAAAGCAAAATGCAAATAAGCTCAGGAACAGAAAACTATACAGCAAGGGTCAAACTTTTAAGTAAGAGTAGAAATTAATGAAGTGAAAAACATACTATAGAAAATATGTGTTAAAAGGTGGTAAACCAGGCCAACATTCTCTCAGTTTTGCCTCATTTCTTTTTTTTAAGAAAAGCGTAACAATCTCAAATTTTTAATGTCGTATTTCCCAATTTTTGAATAATGACTGCTTATTAAAAACACTTCTAGATATCACGCAGCCTATATAGCATATATCTGTGCCTGACTTGAAATCTCTGCATAGGCCAATCTGACCTAAGGTTAGATGCAAAACTACTGAATAAAATAGGGCAAACCAAATCCAGCTCATGATCAACCAATATTATTTCCAGTAATACAAAGGTGGTTCAACTTTAGTAAACATATATCTTCAGGGTTTGGCCTACAGGCTGACTGTTTTTCTACAGCAAGTGAGCTAAAAATGGAGTTTACATGTCAAATGGTTGGGGGAATTTTTTTCTAAATTGTTTTTATTGGTCCATGTTTGCAGTACATCATGTTTACATTCACCTCAGGGAATAGGAACAGGTACTTAACATATCTTAGTTCTTTTTATTCTCGTTCCCCTCTTTCCCATCTCTCATTTTCTTCTTTTTTCTTTTTATTTTAGTTCTCATGTTTGAAACACATAATGATTCCATTCATCGTGGGGAGTTAGCACATGTACATGACAAACCTTAATTATTTATATGTCCCTTTGTCCCCTCTCCTCCCACCATCTTTTGATTCCCTTCCCACTTGCAAAAGATCTATCTCCCTGTTTTCTTTTATCTGTCTTTTATTTTACTCCGCTTTGTGTTCATACTTGGGGTTTCTCATATGAGACAAACCATCTAGTGTTTAAGCTTGTGTGTCTGACTTATTTCACTTAAAATTGTTTTCAAGGTGCATCCACTTTCCTATAAATGACTCAAATTTATCCTTCTTTATGGCCAAGTAGTATTCCACTGTATATATTTTTAAAATTAAAATCTTTATTGGCGGGTACC